GAAGATGTGTATGTCACAGGGTATGGTGTGTTCGGCCAGAGCTGTGGGCCCTCGGTGACCTCTGGGATCCTCTCCAGAATAATCGCTTGTGATTTCCAGCCTGCAATGCTGCAGACAACATGCGCAGTTCAGGCCGGCGCCAGTGGGGGCGCTGTGATTCGAGCAGCCACAGGAGAGCTCCTAGGTGACTACTCCTTTATTTAAAGCTATAAAAAACAGTAGTTGCTGCATTAAAAATTACTTTAATCAGCCTATTTAGTACAGTATGTGCATTTTAAGCAGCATTTTGAACTAACATCTTAAGGGATGCTGATGATAATGGAAATCAGTTGGCTAGCAGTATGGATCTGCTTCACAGAGTGTTGGATTTCTCATTTCTAATGTTTTTCTTTAAGTGGTCAGTGCAGTGTGTGGCTGACTTTACTGTGATGCTAAATGTTCTCTTCTATCAGTAACTAGTGCTACTACCAGTTCTTCTGTTGTAAGCAAAACATCTACCTTTTCAAGAGGTTTGTAACACCAAGATGCATTTCTTCACCCCCCACATGTAGATCTGACTCAGTTCTGGATAGATCAGAGATGCTTATTTTAACAGGAACTGGAATCTTAAAGTGATTGATTTGAAATGATTCTGTTGTGTATAGTACATATAGGTAGAACAGTCTGGGAGCATTTTCCGCTTGATGTGAGATTTCTAATTGGAATAAATGAAGTGTGAAGCGCTGGTGTGCTCTACAGAGGTGCGTGCTGTCAGTGCAGGAGATGAAGATAAAGATATCATAAAGAGGGAAATTCTATTTTTTATCCGCCTCTAATTGAAGCAACAGGCGGCAAGCATTGCTTGTCTAGCCTGTTTTCCCAGCTCTGACACTTTTTAACATCTTTACTCTCCCAGCCCACAGTGCTTACCTCTTGCTGAGGCAGTGATCAAAGGCAATGAAGAGGCGTTAATCTGAAATGTGTAGCACCTCTGTGCCATTTAAATATCCGGGAAGACAATGACAGTCTGTGTTGGTATTGAAATAATATAAAATGCTGGGTACCTCTTGTTCTCCAAGATGACACTGTTCGTTCATGTTTTGTTTTTCTGTGCGTCCTGCATGTATTCACACAATTGTTTTTGGTTATTTAAAAACAAATGATGTACTGAAGGGCAGCAGTACCATATTTGCACAGTAGGTGGCAGTAGTGGGCTTTTGCGAAGTGCTGTCACTGGTAAAATGAATCGCTGGGAAGAGGCAGCGCTAGATACACAAAAGCTCTAGTCTTTAATCTTAAATTTCGAAGAGAAAATACCTTATTTTTAATTTTTTGCATGCTTTATCCTTTTGTATAACTTGTGTGGTGCAACTGCTTAGGTCTCATCGTAGATGTCTGTAAATTAGGTGTCTATAAATGTCTATAAAGGTTTTCTTGAATAGTAACAGCTGGCTAGGTCTCAATAAGTACCGAGCAGCTGAGGGATGGTAGTTAATAAGGATAAAATGCATTGGTATGATTATATTGCTGGCTTTGAATAACAGTCAGCTTTAGGAATCTGCTCACCTTAGAGACTTACAGCTGTGTAGCCAATACCCATGGTAGTGTTTTATAAAAGCCTGTGTGGTTCTGGATAATTCTCAGACTGAAAATGTTGTAGTTAGTGCTTTCAGTGGATAATAACAATCAGATCCTTTCTTTGCCTGGATTACCTGCAATCCCTGCATTAGGAATTAAATTATTCATGGCTTGACGTGACCTTTTTGGAGTCAAACATGAAAGACTTTATTTTATTGTTTCTTGCTGTGGCCATTAGATGATAATCAGCTCTGTACAGTTATCTTAATGAATGCATTGTAGGTACCTCTGGGTGCTGGGTTTCATTTTCATTTTGGGGCACTGGAAGCATTCCATTAAAAGGCTAGAGAAACCAATTGCTTTTGAATATTATAGCTACTAGCAGTTGTATTTCTGAACTTCCCTGATGGGCGTCATAAAAAGGTGTTTTTGTTCTGTTGCCATGCAGTTCCAGTCTTGTTGTGCTGTATCCATGCAGACCTGCAAGGCTGTGATTTCTCCCGTGCTGCAGCTGTGTGGTTAAGAGTCCCAGGCAGGTGAGCGGTCCCCCCTGGGGTCTCCTCTCTGCAGAGCTGGGGCTCAGATCGAGGGGAGAAACTAGGCCACACCACCTCGTTTAACTGAACCAGCGAGAGGTGCACATCCTCGCCACAGGAGTGAAGGAAGGACACAGGAGGGACATCTCTGCTGTACTTGTTTGCACTAAAAATGGTGACGCAGTTAACACTCTCACTGTTCTTCAACCCTACAGGCCACAGTGTTCTGCTATGTTGTTACCAGAGTTGTTAAGAGGATTTTCTGGACTTGGCATGCTTCAGAATCGGAAAAACCCATGCCATAAAGTAAAAAGTTTTACATATGAAATACGTTTGACATTCTGCCAATACATTCTGCTCGCACCTCACTTGAACACCTAAGTGGCAAATACAAGAATAATGTGTTCATCTGTTACATTTGCATTAGAGGCATTGGCTTTGTTCGGACTTGCACCTTTAATAAACGTGTAAAAGCTTTGTTCAAAGTGTGGGTTTTAGTGCAGCAAGAGGCCTGTAAAGGGAAAAGCAACCCTGGCCATGAGGCATGGTCATTTCAGTCACGTGAAAAATTACTTTCTGCTCACAACGTTTGCTTAGACTGGAGGTGAGTCAGGCAATCAAAATCTTACTCTTCCTGTATCAGTAAGACAACAACAATGCGGTTACTAACAGTGTCCACAGCCCTGCACTGTAGGATTTGCAAGTAATTTCCATTGTGATGCAAGTACCTGCATCGGGAGAATGTTTTCTGAGCGCTAAACTTGTCCTCTTTAACCACTGACAAATTTCAGCTTCCTGTGGTGTTTTTTAAATGCATTTGTTCGAAATCTCAAGGCAAGTATTATCTTCAATGTTGTCAGGATGCTCCTTCAAATTGAAAGTGCAAGCTGGGCGATACTGGTCGTGGGAGTCTCATTTACATGGAAATAGTTGTTTTGAGATCTATTAGCCTCTTAACCGGTGGGATACAACAGTCAAGCTTGTTTTTGCAGCCTGTAGAAACTGCAATTTAGTTTGCGCCTCAAAGCATTACTTACTGCTTAAATGAAAACCGCACTATAATCAAGTCTAGGGAAAGATCATTGGACTAGTTTGTCTTCACATACTGTTATCGAACTGACTTGAAGAAAGCTTTGAAAAACGTCTTTATTAAGTCCACTTTCATGCTTAGTGTTCTACCAGATGATTAAAAAGGTGGTAACCTTGTTTTGTTTGTCGTCATAGGTAGCTTTCTTGTTGTCATAGGCATTTGATTCATATGGTTGGAAGTGTGCCGTTTTATTTGGTTAGTCAACTTGGTTATTGAAGTCTGTGATGGAGAATGCTGCTTTTCAGAAATTGACTGCCAAGCTTCCGAATCGGTTGTTTCATGTGCACTATTTATTAATTGGGATTGTAAAATGGCTTCGATAGTTTTGGGTTATCTGATTTTACTCTCTACTTTTGAAGTTGGTTGGTGTCATGTTCCTTACTTTAAACATACAAAATGCAATTTTGTTTAAAACACTCTTATCACCTAAAAAAGTCCTTACCAGGACATGGTACATTTATGTGGTCACTTTCAAAGTTACAAAGACTTTATTTGCATCCACCTGAAACATTTTCTATTATTACTGACAGAGAAGAACCAAATAAGAATTCTAATATAAATATGGAATTCTGTAATTGATCTCCACTTAGATGTTTCATTTCTATTTTCAAATTTATTTTAAAGTGCATGTTGATAGAATTAGGGTTTGATCTGTTAAACATGAATTCAGGTCAGAAAGATTCCAGCCCTTGTTTTTTTGTATTATGGCTGCTTACACTGCTACATCTGAATTAATAGAAGGCATATTTATTGCTGTTGAAACATTTAATCTCACAGGTAAACATTTTGTAAATGATTGCATATTTGAGATATTGAGATTATTGCAATTTAGGTGATGAGTGTGGTGCTGATACCCCCAGGGTCTGAGGTTCAATCCATGTATGATCTCTGATCTAAGCTGCTTATGGGACTGTAGATACTGTGCATATGCTGCTTGAGCTAATGTAAGAAATAAATAAGAGGTAATTCTTTAGTAGATCATTTTAATCCCTTTTTTTACTCTTTTGTTGGGATTCGCTAGATGGTTAGGAAGTGCCAGGATGGTTTTGTCAGAAGCAAACAGTACTTCGAAGGCCAGTCACCTGTGGAGTGGTGTCATTAGTGAGGCACTATATCAGGTTATGTATAAATAATCAATAACAGTCTCCTAGACTCAGGTATTGCTGGTAAACTTGTCAGATTCACGGTGTCCAAGCCACATTGCAAAGAGTTTTAACAACAGCACAAGGAATACAGGAGGATTTAGACAAAATCCACTATGAATCTAGGCAATTTTGATGCCAGGCACATTTATTGTGGATACATTCAAAGCAATACATGCAGGACGTGAGAAAATGGAATTGAAATTTCACATCTCACTGAAACAGAAGACGCAATATACGAGAAAGCTTTAGGGGCTTATGTAGACTCACTTTCTTCAACCAGGTAGAGTGAGGAAGCAATAAATAAAGGCCAACAAAATGCTTGGGTTTATAGGAGTGTAGAATTTAAATCAAGGGAATTCATGTTCAACATACACAATACCTTCGTTGCTAGATGTGACCTGGAAAACTTTTAGTTGGCGCACTAAGAGAAACATTTGGCTGCTTTTTTAGAGGCAGAACAATAAGTCTTGTTCCCAGCATGAAGGGAATGTCGAAACTGGACTGAGGGAACTGAATCTATTTAGCCGTTTTCAGCCTGGGTCAGGAAGCATTATGTCAGGACCAGATTCAGGGGTTCAAAATCCTGAAAAGCTTTGATTAAATCAGCTCATTGTGGATCTTCACATTATCAGCAACATAAGAGCCCATGAACAAAGGAAGGAATTAGATTTAGGGGCCATTTAAGACCAATAACAGGAGATAATTGTTTACACAGAGGACATGGGAGTCTGGGAGTAATGTCCTGTACATATGCATGAAGCTGACACCATGGACCCTGTATAATGCCAAATGCATTGCAAATGTTTCATTTAATTGACCTGTTCCATTGTAATTGTTGTTTGTATTATTACTATTACTATTAATATTACTATTACTATTACTATTACTATTAGTGGTGATGTTAATAATATGTTAGTGTGTAAATCAACCTCATATTTACAAAATGTACAGCAATGAGCGCAAGCGAGGCCAAGCACGTGAACCTTATTTAAAAATAATACATTTTAACAAAAAAACAGTTGCACAGTGGTGAACCGCAGAAACGCAAACCAATATTCTTTGTGAATTTACCTAAACCCTAAATAAATGTGTTTTACCTGGATGGATACTTGGTTTCATTCCTGAAGTGCAACTTATATTTCTAATGTGCTATTGATCAACTAGCCACCAAACAACCACTTTCCCTTCCTTCCTGTCTGTCAGTCTTTTCTGTTCCTCTGATGTCTTATTTTCGTGCCCAGGCCTGGTATCCAGCAACACCCGGGACTGCGCTGCTGGAGTGACGTACTCCCATCTGAACTTCAGTGTTCCAGTCACAGTGCTGTCCCCCCTGCTGCGCCAGTATGCCCTGACTGGAGACTCGGGGGTGTTTGAGGAGCTGGACCGAGCCAGTGACGCTGTCAGAGCTGCGTGGAGACTACAGGGCAGCCACGGTCTGATTCCCCGGAGCAAACTCTGACTCCCTCTGCCAGCCACAGGCAGGGAGAGAGACTCCTCTGACTGACCTGCAAGGGCTACAGATGTGTCTTTGCTTAAATCAGATGCTGATAATCTGTCACTGAGGCTGATCACATGAAGAGATTCTAAAGGAGCAGTTCATAGGGAGCTCATAAGGAGGACATGATTTACAAATCAGAAAATTAAAAACTGATTTTGTATCAAGAGTGTGAAAGGAGTCAAATATTTAATCTTACCTAAACGAGAGTGCTCATAATTTTGTTTGTTTCGATTAAAAGGTAGTTTTAGCGCACTTATGTGTTGTTTTGCCTCCTTGATTTGGATTATTTTTGGTAGTGTGTACTGGCATGAGGCAATAGTAGCAGCTCAGAATGAAAATCAACAGAAAAGGTAGATTCGAGCAATATGACTCAACGCATTTCCAGGGCTTCCTGCTAGCTAGACTCATGAATATGAATTTTCAGAAGAAGGAATGTATTTATGATAACCTGGACAATGTTTGGGAGAAAACAGTCATTTAAATTTGATGTTGCAATATGACAATAGGGTATTATTTTAGTTTATCTTAATTGCAGAAAAAAGGTGCAATATCAAAATATCTGCATACGTAAGAAGTACGTTTAAAATTCTGGCTAGTGTCCAAGCCACGTTTGATCAATTAATTCCTATTTACCATGCCTGTGGCACAAAGCAGAGTCAAATATTATGTAGTTTCTCTCCAGTGCTGCTATGAATCAGCCACTTCTGTATATAACTGTGAAGGTGAAGCTTTAGTCATGACAGTGATCACATGTAGTGTTTGGATTTCTCAAGACCGCAAAGGTGCAAAAAGGAGAAAAGAAGACAAAGGTAGTATCTTCTCTCTTCCAGTCTCTTATCCAAAAAGACCAGAAACAGAGCAAAGGTTAGAGTTCTATTTTATTATCAAACACAGTGTAAATATTATGTTTAATATACTGTATTAAGCCTAGGTAACAATAACATGAGCACACAGCACTTATTTTACATTCTATGCGTAGTATTGATAGTAGAAATGAACATTTTTTTAAAGCAGATCTAGACTATTGAACCAGAAAAACATGTTTGCACATGAACAAGGCAGTACAGTACATTGCTTGTGTAACTGTTGTGTAATTTTGTTTTTGCACCCTTGCCTGATATAGAATAGGTGTCTCTTGGCCTATTCCAGTTTGTTATTCTCGAATGGTGGTGGCAGAATGATCACTAAGGTTGCCTTAATTGTCTTGTGTGATTTACAACTCCTCTCCTCACAGCAAAACAAGACTATATGCAATTTTCTTTCAACCAATTTTTCTTTGTCACATCTGAGGCATTGGTTTATCCCCAGATGTCATATATTGTATGTATAGATAAATTAATTGAAGTAATCGATTCTACCTGATTAAATATATTTCATGAGAAATAACGACACACAAGAATTAGATGTGCATTGAGGATGTTTATTGAGTAATAAGGTGAGGTAAGAGTTGGTTTGAGGGCTTATCTGAGGGCCAGAACCAGTTAGGGAACCCCTACAGAGAGAGGCCTGACCGACGGGAAGCAGGAGAGGTGGAGACAAAATGAGAAAAGGGATTTGTTCGTGACATCTATAACTTGTGAGGAATGATATCTGGAATGAATGTGATTTAGAACATCAAGGAATTGGCTGAAAAGTGTCTTGGCTGTCGTCAACCTTCCCAAACATCAGTTAAAAATCTCCGTGTGGTTTTGTGTGGAGGGCTAGTGTAAGATATCACTCTTTTTTGGGCAACAGGCTTTAAGAAATGAATTGTGGGTTTTCCGGTTACCTTAATTCTGCTTTAGAATTGTTTTTACATACTAGCCTTGCAGGAAACAGAGTAACAAACCATAGGTTTTCTAAACATGCAGTTGTCTTTCAAGTAAATTTATTCAATAAAAATTCAATTCCTTCGAAAAAAGAAATGGCTTATGTTGTTGTCATCTATAGGCTTCTCACGTTCATCCCGTTTTGCATTAAAACAGGTCTCTGTTAGCATAAAGATCATGTAAGAATTTTGAAGTGGTGCAGTCAGATACTCATGTGGGCAATTTGATGGGGGAATATTGCTTTGGAAAGCAGATGTGTTTAAATTACCAAACATAGGCTGTTCTGATTAGCCAATTCAAAAGACTAGTCATTTAATATAGTATGTATAAAAAGTAAATGCACTGAATGACTTAAAGCCACATACTGTATATAGTAACATATACGAACAATTCCACAACAAAACTATTTCATTTAGAAATACCTGTTCTTCAAAGTCTTGTTGCCTTTGAAATCCACATATTGTCATATATTTAAAATAACTTAGAAATACAAGGAGTCTGAGGCCCACCGCCTTTAATATTAAAGTGCTCAGCCATTGAAAATTACATACTTTACTTTTTACTAACATGCATTACTAGAAACAATCTAATGTATATACCTTAATTTAATGGCAGGCATAAACAAGTTACAGTTTACTCATGGAAAAAATATGCTAATAGTGAATATTCAAGTATACACAAAACTTCAAGTAACATACAATTTTAATTAAAATTCAAGTAGCATAATCAGAATAGAGCTTCAAGTGGCACATTCTTTAAAGTGTAGTATTTGCAGTATTTCAGGACCTCTCATTTGAAAACTCACATTATAAAAGGGTGCATTTAGTGGCTTTTGTTGTGTTCTGCTGCAAATAAATAGAATGGAAAAAAAGCAACTCCTGTAATCCAGTGGCTGTTAATCTAGATTAGTATCTCACTAACAGTGTGACTCGCTTCATTAAATTGAACAGCAGAGTCTGCTAGCATCCACAGGCTCTTGAGAGAAACACTCCATCAGTGAAGCACAATTACAGTATACTGGCAAGAAATGTAAGCAAATCAAAAAGTACTAATTAAAAAAGTGTTCTAATAATATTTTATAGTTGCTGTATGTACATATGTATGTGTACATTATCATCTCAGAAGTAGCACAAAATCATACTAAATAACCCTGCTTTTTACAAACCGGGTGACTATGTCTGGTTCGCACTGTCTTGTGTCATCACATAAGCAACGTGGCTATGTCTATTTTCATTTTAAGCACTACAGAACTACATTGCATCTTATTTTCCTCTTACTACAATGAATGATATCTGTTAGTCTCTGGCATCCTTTTTTTTTTACTCGAGCTGTTTGGCTTATGAGCAAAGTTGCAATCTGCTCATATCCACCGTTTGCCATCAATGGGGAAATCTTGTGACACCCGACGCACACATCTGTCTGCTTTAATTAAAGCATTCCGGCTCTTGATACGCTTAGTGATTTCTGGATTTAGACATCGTAAGACTTTTTCCCCCCCCGTTCTGCAGTACGTATTAACATTTTGGCGCTGCAGTGCCTCGCTCACCAACTCGGCGTCTCAAATACCCCGTTGTCCATCTCCTCTCCACGCACAGCACAGCATCCCAGGCTAGACTCTTCATCGGCCTTGTCACGTCCTTCGGCAAGAGCTGCTGAAATGGCCAGTAGAGGCCTTCTGGAGGCATCATTGTCTCAGTTTAAAAAGCTGCTTTCAGACGCAATAGGTATGATAGTCAATGGAAACATTAGCAACTTTTCGGTCGTGTCAAAGGGAACCGCCTGTGGGTTTCAGAGGTGCTGCGTTACAAAAGCGTTGAAAACGCACAGATCACAATTGCAGTGAATCCTGCGCGTCTTCCTTTTTTTGAAGCGGTTTCATTTATTAGGAGCTTCATGAACGTCTCCTCGCTTTAAATAGACTTGGAGCCGGGGCAGGGGGCAGGCGCTGTACTGCATGTGGACTGTACTGAGAAGCGGGAGAGAAAAGGAAAAGACCCAGGAGTGAAGATAATCCTGCTGGGGCCTGCCATCCGCAGCCAGGGCACGCAGAGCACATGAGGAGCAAGTGTAAGTGGAAAGCAAACATGAAAGTTGTCAATCCCTTCCTCTTCTGTTGACATAGCTATCCAGCGCTTCATTTAATAGAGGGATGAGTCTTTAAACACCATCTCAGTTGTTGAACTATTTCTTTAATTTTGTAAAGGCTCGTTCTCTGTTCTTACTAAATAGGGGATCCTTCCATAAAATGAGGCTTGAGTTAAACTAGACAAATGGTGATTAGAGCAGAAAATGTAATGCCATTGTGTTCACAGCACACAGGAGACAGCCCAAGTTATATATATATATGCAGATACAAGCTTATCTGGCATGCATTATTTTGTGGCAAACTCAAAAATTTTTTATAGATACCACACCTTTGCCAATTTGTCAGCTGTCTGAAACATTTGCTGTGGTAGCATGAAGCATCTGTTAATCCAAATGCAGAATAATTTTAGTGAGACATTAATCGCACAGCCTGTGCACACACACACATACTTTGGTCTTATTTTAAATTCAAATACTAAGTAAAATGTCTTCTTTAAAAACGTATAAATGTGATGGGTATATATAGCCTAGTTTATATATAAATAACTATGGTAAATTAATTTGGTATTGATTTTGCAATGATGGCAGATTTACGTGAAAAATAATAGTTACATGCAGGATACTTGTTACATTTTGATGATGGAAAAAGAGCTTCAGTTTCCAACTGCTGCCTCAATGCTTTGTAAAATGCTACAGTACTGCATTGATTACCGAACAAGGCTTGAGGCATGGAACAGAGGGTTTCAATTGTTTCAATTAAGTCACTCTTCATGAAACACAGCTACTGTGTTCTACAATCTACAGGTGCAGATTTACCATTTGTCGAGTTTACCCATCCTAAATTCTAAAATAAAGTCTGATCTAAGTAACACTCCAGTTAGGATGGTTAAAGTTCAGTTAAGATAAGTGGTGTGTTTCCAGAAGTGACGTTTGTACGAGCTCATCTGTGTGATCCGCTTGTCACCATGATCACAATGTGCCATTCATCACATGACACGCCATAATACTACTATGTGGGAAGCGAAAGAGATTTTAAAAAATGTCTACCACAATGCTTTTGTCTTCGATATTTCTCCTAAAGATGTGGGTTATAGAACTGAAAATTCACATTCACCCTTTTTTTTCTTAGTCTTGGCAATGATCAACTCATACACTCTGATCGCATGATTTCTGCAAGTTTAGTGTAAAAGCTATAGAAATTGTCAAGTGTTTAAACTGCATGTAAAGCATATTATTCATGACCAGCGCAGTCCTGTCTGGCTGGACACATTCTCAGTCTCACAAGGACTTTCACACATGAGAAAAAAAAACAATTCAATAGGTAACAAGTTGTCACATAATTAATTCAAGGCATTATGGGACTCCATTATCTTTGGAATGTGAAAATGGAAAAAATAGCCTTTTGGTGCAGTATCAAATTGATTACCATCAATCTCGAACTATACAATTATGTCATTATAAATGGAGCTAAAGGCAACAAATAATTTCTGTATTATTTTCCAACTCTATTCAGCACTTCCATCATGCCATGATTCAAGAGCTAAGCTAAGTTCCTCAAAAATACAATAAGACTACAGGAAATGGCATGCCAGTTTCTGGAATGCATGAAGCAGAGATTTTCTCAGTATTTTCGGTTTTCCTAAGACCTGAGACACAGCTGATCAGTGGGAGACAGTTTCAAATCGTCCAGGTATAAATGCCAACATTGAAGCTGCTCATTGTGAGCTTGTATCCATTACTGACATGACAGTGCTGTGACAGACACCTACTTCTCTAACGTCACCACCCTAATGAAGGCCACTCAGAGACCAAGTGCCACAGAGCTCTCATTTCCATTGTGCCTATTTAGCTGGCTCTCTCTGTGGAAGGCAGTGTGTATCTTGATATGAACAAGCAGCTGCTTCAGCTGAGGCAACTCTGTGATCCCTGTGGGGCTCATAGGTCTGTGACAAGCAAACAAATAACTGAAACTCCCAGATTTCTCCAAGCCCATCCAAAAGCAGAGACAATATCTTTAGAAGGAGTCAGGCGGCCAGAGTGGGCCTACACACTGCCTGCTTTTATTTTTGCATTTGTGGATGTTGCAGTCACAAAGGTGTTGTTGTATGCAATACATATTAATCTGTAAACAACAGGATCACATTTATCCTGGATGGCCATGTCTTCAGGTACAAGGGAAGAGGAATGTGCTACTTTAATGAATAAAAAAAAAACTTTGGGAAGGAAAAGCATTCAATAATAGAACTGGTATGTAAAAAGGGTATGTTGTATTGTGGGAATTGATATAGCTTGTTTATTAGATATTTTGACAACAATCCTTCAACAGCTAATGGCATATGATGTTAGCTATTCTGCTAAGCTGAATGACAGTTTTCTTTGCTCTGTGGTACATACTCTTTCCCCTGAGCTCTGTACCGGTGATGTGCTGAAGCGTATGGCACAGGGATTCTCTAGGTTCCTAGCGTGAGCGCTGTTCTGCAGCATACCAAAGGTCATACCCAGGTGAGCGTGGCTGTGGCTTCAGATGCTAAGTACTGCTAAACAGAAATCTCTCTTGCAAACACACACAAAGAATGAAGCTTCACACATATTTAAGACAAAGCCTGATCATCCCCAGAGTCAATGCTGTGCTGAATGTGGTTTAGTTTCTGCCCTTTAGTTCCCAGGATCCTTTCTGTCAGAGTGAGAGCTGCGTCCCAGCCTGGCCAGAACACTACAGCCGAGCGAACTGGACTTTTCTACCAGATGTAACCCCCATCGTCGACCTCTCCTGCCTCCCCCTCCTCTTCCTCTGCCTCTTCGGCATTCTCTTCCGCCTCCTTCTCCTCTTCATCCTCCCATCCTACCCCACTGCCAAAATCTCCCGAATATCCCACCAGCTCATCTGGAAATGACAGAGAGAGAGAGAGAGAGAGAGATAGAGGCAGACCTGTCACATTGAATACTGCCATCCATCAACAGGTTAATCAATGAACTCCCAATATTGTTTTCTGCTTCAGTTTAATTATAAAAAATGTGATGTGTAGAATCTGGAAAAAGTGTTAAGATACAGTTTATTTACTCACTGGGAGTGTTGAGATCAAATAGAACATTCATGGTGTTAAAAAATACAACACTTGCATTTTTAAATGGTTATGTTCAAAAAGCTATTTTTAGCTGCCTTACCATTTTTAAAAATAACTCCAGAATGTCTTGAAAAAATCTGACCAGTTCTGAGTGGAATTAAATATTTCAGTATGTTACCCACACAAACTTGGGTGCCTTTAATTATTTTATGTAATGACGTCTTATTAAGACGACACCTGGCGAGGGCACAGGGCCAAAGAGGGGTTTTTAAAGTCTGTGAAGAGTGGGGGAAAAAAAGAGACTCCTCAATTTTTGTTTAAGCTGTTGTGTTTTTCTCGAGCTTCCCCGGGGCAAGGAGATAGAGGCCGAGCGACTCTCTTGACACGCAATACATCGCATCTCGCCATACACAGCAAAGGGCGAATTTCACTGGCTGCTACAGTTACTGTAGTGACACTCTTTTAGAGGCATTCAGACCTTTGGAATGATGATGACAGCAGGACGTGGGTGATGTAGGGATGTATGAGGACATACTGGCCCTGCTCTGATTCCACTCTGCCTTACCGCAGTCTGGGTTCCCATGGACTCGGGATCCCACCAGCTCCCCTCCATGTTGGTCCACACACCAGCACTCCCCCCGGCTCTGGTCGCACTGCAGCTTCCTGTAGTAGCCGTCTTCATCGCAGCTGGGAATGTACATCCCTAGCAAACACAACAGACGCAGGTCACGACTGGAGAGCCACAGACTCTTCCCAAAATCAAACTGGTTCTCAGTTCCTGACCTGACCTATAGCTGACTAACCTGTAAGTTTACTGGCCCAAGACCCTGGAGTATCAAACATTGTGTACTTCCTGGGAAAGGCAGAGCACATGGCTTATCTGACTGGCCCCTTACCAAGAGGATGCAGTAGGCGATAGGTGCTTACTTCCATCCCTTTCCCAGGGGACTAGGGAGGCCTGGCAGACTGCAACACTGCATTGCAACGCTGATTTACTATGCAAGGGGATTTACAACCGATTGGTTTTTAGCAGAGGAGAAGAATGCAATGGAAAACCTGTGCAGTGCCCTTGGGGAGTCCCGAAGTGTATGGTGCCAAATCCAAAGCCCTCTCCCAGATGCCAGTTCTGCTCTCTAATCCTCGTACTGATTACGAGGTAATCCCTGCCTCGCGCTTGTGATCTGTTTAATGAATCGCGCCGGATCCTGCCGAGAGTGCTGTGTCACACAAACATCCCGCAAAGGCCCCACAGGTCACACACCTGGCCCCTGTGTTTTTACTGAGTCTGGTCCCTGACGGTCACTTACCTGGCTTTTTTTTGGCCACCTCTTGCACTTGAATCCTCTCGAGTTCAGCAAGGCAAGGAGGCTCTGAGAAAGAAAAGAGAAGCCGCAGTTCTGTGACAAAGTGCAGCGCACTAGAATATGTGCTGTGTTTCCAGATCACTTCTTATCATCCACCTGTCTGTTTGTTTTTCACTAAATCTACAGCACTGTCCTTGAGTGTCTGGGACATTTTGTGCATGAAGACTTAGTTTCATGGGAAAAACCCAACCACGGTATAAGGACATCTTCACAGCAACTCTCACTCAATGAGAAACAATGTAGAACAGTTTTTGGCAGCCTTGCTGGAGTCTTGAACATTGGCCGTTTCTGCATCGCTGCCCAGCTGAATGTTGCATTCTCAGCGTCCTGGGAGCCAGGATGTCAACAACACAGACGATGCAGTACAGCTCTGCCACGGAAACTTCCAGTGCATGTTCGTTCCCTTGTAACAACGAGGAGACAAGCTGTGTCAGGCCCGATTGAGCCAGCAGAGCTCCAGTGAGACTTGTCTGCCTTTGATCAAACGTGAGCAGTGTTAGTTCAACTATGAGTTCACGTCAGCAGCCCATTGGAGTCTGCTCTGAACCACAGTGTAGGGGGAACTCAGTCATCTGCAGAGTCATTGTGAATGTCGGACTGTAATAACAGAGTCAAGGATAACGACTCTTCCAGGACAGTCACGTTCAAAATACAAATCTAAGATGAGATCACTTTATCGGCCATATACAATTTCCTTGATTAGGAATTTGTCTTTTCGCATACCCCAACTTGCTCTTCATGAGACAGGGAGAGAAGCATGGGGTCAGAGCACAGGGTCAGCCATTTTATACAGCACCCCTGGAGCAGTTGGGGTTAAGGGCCTTGCTCAGGGGTCCACTGGAGTAGAATTTCTTTGCAGGTCAAGGGATATGAACTGGCAACCTTCCAGCCACAGGCGCAGATCCTTAGCCACAGAGCCGCCGCACCAGATCTAAATCCTATTATTGGGAATCAGACTGCGAGGCCGGATCGCTTTTGGCAGCGGGCCACTCTTTGTATTTTGCAAAGTCTGTAAAACTACAGTCACAGTCTCTGATTTCCAATTTTAGCACACAACTTCAGCAAAGCCCTATGAGATTCTTTGTTCTGATGTCTTTTGTAGGCTATTAATATCTTTGATTTTCATGAGAACTACACTGCTAAGCACTTTGAGATGAAAGTACCGCTTTTATTCCCAAGACACCACATGGACCAAATGTGCAGAGAAACTACCTTGTTAAATATTTCCCAGTATCCAGAATTAATCCACTGTTGACATAAAAACTAATCTTGCATTTTTGAACAGTTAGTCACGATTGTCTAAAACTAGTTATTGTTACCTACACCTTTTGAGTGGAGAGATGTGTCAGTGTGCGCTGGCTGCAAAGGAACAAGTAAAGGTTCATTCCATGCTGAAAAACAGAGAAACAGAATATTTGGTCTGTCTTTGGGTTTGAGACTCACAGCCCAAATGTTGTGTTTCTTCTTTTTCAGTATTGAATGGACCTCTGCTTGTTCCATTGTCAACTAGACGCCCACTGACACAGCTTTAGTGCTTGTCTGGATTCTGTCTCCGACTTGACAGAAACTTACTTTCCCTCCAGAAGCAGAAACACCACTCCGCGGTGGAAACCTGCCCATCTTTGTACGTGTCGCAGGAGTTGAAAAAGGGCCGGATGCAGATCTCGTACTTGTCCAGGTTAATGGCCGCCAGTTCGGACTGGTCCAAGTAGAGGTCGCTGTTGGTGTCAAGTCTCGAAAACATCCAGCCGATGGAATCCTTACAGCTGGCCACAAGGCTCTTATCCAGAACTGCAGGTGAATAATAAAGTGTTACTGCACCAGGTATCAACCGAGAACAATTTCCCAATTACAACTGATGACCCAGGAGGTGACCATTTAAACAACAGGGCTTTTAGCCAGATCTGAGTAACCTACCTTGCGCAGGACTACGACAAGTGTGCCACCACCTGCAATCTGATCTCACAAGCATCCAGGTGCCAGTCCAGAGTCCTCACCTCTCCTCCTCATTGCTGAGCACTGCAGCTGCACGTTGTTAAATCACTCGCTGCCGTCCTGTGAGGTATCTTTTTACCCCCTCCTATGTTCAAGAGGTTCTGAAATTTCCATTCCTTTTCCTGCCGCCAGCTAATGTCCCCAAGGTGTGCATGTGTAAAGAGTCAGTAGTTACCCTATTGATGGGGCGGGGGATTTAGAAAAGAGTCTGTCCCCTGTCTGTAATAACTTCTTGCCTCACTTCATTCTGAAATTGCTTCAAAGAGCCGGGAGTCACTAGAACTGAGCCATTTTAGATTGGTTGGCATGAAATTATCTTTACTCCTGCTATTAACTCTTTTCTAAAAATATTTCTCCTAAAAACGGATTGGATACGGACAGCTCTGTCAAGCTGAAATAATACATATTTCTGCAGGACGTTAACAGCGAAGGAGGGATTTCGGCCCAGTGGCCCCCCTTACCTGAGGCCGTGCTGGCTCCTGGCCTCCCTGAGCTGTTCTGCTTGGCGTTTCCATGAAGCAACTGGAACCAGTCCCTGAGGCGATCGCCCAGGTCAGCCAGGTCCTGCCCAGTGCAGCTCTCTGAGGGACAAAGACACCAACCGAGTCGGGGAATCAGCCCGGCAGCAGAGAGGCAATTTCCAGAGCAGCATCTACACTACACTGTACTGGGAGACCGGTCGTGGCCGTCCTCCCGATGGAGGCCAGTACCTGGAGTGGGGGTAGTCCCAGACCATTGTTGCTCATGGTACTGTAGGTGTTCACATTGCCTGGTGAGCACCTGACAGTGGTCTTGAGGGTTTTACAACGCAATACTTAGAGGAAGTTATTAACTGAAGTTCAGGAGGAATATCAATGACAGGTCAATCTGACTTAGCAGCACCTAGTCAACATCATTCCAAAACTAGCTACAAACTGTATACTGAACTCAAACGCTTCCCTTTGCATTTTGTCTCAAGCATCCCTCCTCCACCCCATCTCTTCATTGCAACTTCCCCTTGGTCCACTCCCTCCGAATGGGGCTCGAGCTTCTTCATCTTATGGCCAGGACGATACCCATGGAACAAGCAGGTTAAGCCAAACGTTTCTCACTAAGTATTCCAAACATTTACAAACCATTCAATTCTTGGATGTTGTCGTCCATAGTGAAACGCAGTATTAAAAAGAAAAATTGGGCAATTGCTCTTGTTAGCAACATTTAGGCCTGTTGCAACACAGGAATTCATATTGGTGGAGATGGAGATGCAGCCCACATTTCAGAGCAGGCAGCTCTGTCGTGCCGCACTGCTCAGCCGTACTCACCCTGTTTGCTTTCGGAGTCGGATGTCAGGGAGGTGTCTGTGGCACACGGACATTGTCCAGTGCATTTCACAGTCAGCTCTTTCCCAGTCAGACAGCCCTGCTGCTCCAGTTTACACTGCAAGCACACAAACAAGAGGGCGAGGCCCTCAGTAACTGGCAGCAAGTGCCTGGGGCTTCTGCAGGGCAGTGGTGCTGTCCATTCTCAGACCGTCGTCTGCACGATGAACTGGCAGCAAGAGTCTCATCAATCAGCTTGCAGCAGACAGGGCAGTGATGTGCAGCTTCTATCCACATCAAATATTTATTGTAGTGACGGGGGAAAAACTGCTCATTCAAATGACTCAATTTTTGAGTGCAGATTATACATTAGTTTGGTTGATGCTTTTACCCAAAGCAACTTATATCTGTATCGATTTACACATTGTTTTACTTAAGCCGTCTGAGCCGCAGAAGAGGTGAACAATCATTGTGCTTTCTCTTTTTAACAAGGCTGAAATTACAGACAGAAAGAAGTAAAAATGAATTCTACAGTCATTCTTTTAATTTTTTTTAAATTTGCCCATTCAACGCTGAATGCCTATTCCATGCACAGTGCAAGTCTCTTCATGCACAGAAATGTCTAAACCAAAAAAATGTGCTGTGCAGTGAAAATGATCATTCTACATGTGGCTGGCTTTTAGAATTTTGTGACTTCAATTATTTAATAGGAACAAAAAAAATTCTGTAAGACATCAAGCCATGTTTTGCTTTCAGTTCATAACTTAAAGCATAGGGAACAGCGTTTATGCTAGGTCAAAACCCATCCTGACTAGTCCCAATTGAAGATTAGTTTGCAATTTACAATGTGAATATACAGTATGCCGCAGTATAAAGTAGCATCATGAGATACATTTCCTTTACCTGAGAAGCGTAGTTGTGCCCGTCGGATCCACACACTGGAGTAGACGCAGACACTGGACAGGGCTTGCAGCTGTTGTCTTGCAGCTTTACTGCAGGCTGTTTGATTCTAAGTGCAAGACCCAGGGCAAAAGAAAAATCAATTTGGAACGTACTGTGAAAACAGGCTACGATTTTCTGTTGAGCTGTGTTGAGCCAACAGATATTTTTTTTATTGAGAAACATCAGGTATGCACAGAGTGGTCCTGTCTTCACAGGCCTATCGGTCCGCTTATCAATAAAGGCAGTTTTCAGAAGGATGGCAATTATGCAATTGTACAATTTCTCAATCCCTGTCATTTCATCGTGTATCTTCAGAGCCTCATAATCCTCTTCTGTTTAAAAATACCAACACACCATCTGGAATTAATTTTCAAAATGTTGTGCCCTTTGAACATCTACAGTTTTAAAGATTTGTTGCCCATTTTGGTGACCTGACATTCATGGCTTGTATTTAATGACGAATTTATCTTCAGGTATCATATCGTTAGGAATGATTAACTCTCATGCAGATTTCCCATTTTCCCACACTTGTAAAGAAACAGAGTTGCACACCTCATGGGCAATTTCCCAGATGAGGTTCTATTTTGAAAAAGATTAATGTCTGTCACTGCAGATAGAACTTGCACATAATAATGTTTCACTCCATTACGTTTTCTGATTATTCTCCCTGCTTATTGAGCACTAGCTAATCTTTCCTGTTTTATGTCAGTAAGCTAAATATATATTTTGGGGGGTTTGGACAGTGAAAACCTGCAGGTCAGAGAAAGGATTAAATGGTCAATGTCTGACCTCTTATGTAAAAAGAAAGGTATTAAGTATCTGCACACTTGGATTATGTTTCTCACACTGTTTTAAAATATATTAATACACCAATATCAACAGGAAATTAACCAGCAACAGCAGTATTTTCCAAGCAATATGACTCATTCTTGCCACATGTGATCCATTAATGGATCCACAATAGTCAAGGGCAATGCTGTCAAAGACACTATCATAATTTAGCTTTAGTTATCTGTGAATATATGGAACTGCTACAGGTGATGTGGCCTGTAGTTATCATCTCCATATTACCTAATGTTGTGTCCTAAACCTCTAAAAAAATTCAGCGCATAAAGCAAGCCTGAATAAACTTGGAGGCTGCTGCGCTTTTTGTCCAGGCATGGCGTTAGATGCCCCAGGCCCGTTGCTCACCTCTGCTCCAGCTTCTTGCGGTTGATGCACATGGCCCGCTGGTAGCCCTGGGCTATGCAGACTTTGTGCCGGCTGCACTTCACCTTCTGGCACGGGTCCTTGGTGGTGTCCACAGCTGCAGACACAAAGTGATTCAGCACGACATCACAGGGAAACAAGCTGCTCCGTGCTGGCTGTCTCCCAGAGATCAATCACAGAGCAGGGCACCTCTCCACCACATGTCAGTGCAGAGGAGGCACTCATATTTTATTGCCATCTTCCTAAATGAAGGCAGTGTCTCATTCAAATGCATCTGCCTTTAACCCGCTTTCTCCTCTACTTTCTTCAGAGCCTCTCACACGGCTATGGAGCAGCTGTGAATCTTTCAAATCGTAGTAAACACTGATTCTCTATTCCTATACACTACTTAATAAATTGATTCATATTTCAGTCATTTTCATCATTTGAGATTGGAATATCATGTATGAGTTGAATGGATAGCAGCCCCGTCGCAGTAAAGCAAGACCCCAAATATTGTGAGCCAGTTCTCATCAATAGAAGGGGACACTATATTGTACATTCAGACTGCTTTCTGCAGATTTCTGTCACAGTCTTGACAAACAAAGACATTCCAAAGAGAGATTAATCATAAATGTTCTGAGGAAGAACCAGTTGTTCAAGGTCAAATGACAAATGAATTGCTTTCTAAATCTCCCTGATCATTGAGACTATTTCCATTGTTTGTTTTTAAATCACAGCACAAAGCACTTGCAGACAGCCCTTTTTATATCAGATGAAAGGTTTTCTTTCTATAGAGTGTTGGAAGGCACAGGAAAAATGAGAACATAAGGACATTAACATAGTGCAAAACGGACAGCCATTCTAGCTTGTTTGGTACTTAGTAGCTAAAGCAATCCAGCCAGATGTTATCCAGCCATTTCTTGTAAGAAGCAAAAGCATCACTTTTTTCAACACCGCTGTGTAGCTTGTTTCATACTTCATACATGGTCCATATTTGCAGCTCTTTGTGTAAAAAATGCATATTGTTAAATCATCCTCAGTGTGAAATACACTGCCCCAAAGTTTCTATTTGTGTTATTCGTGTTCCAGCTGACTTTGTCAATACCTTTGAGAATCTTGAATACGCAAATCTGTTTAGCTCAGGAATGCATCTATTTTCTCTTTTCTGGACTAATTCCAGAGCAGAAATGTACAGTATGTGGTGACTGAAACTGTACTCCAAATGAAAGCTTACCATTGTGTCACACAATATTAACATTACATCTTTCAATTTTAATTCTACACTTTTATCTAGATATTCTAAAATTGTAAGCCTCTTTATATTGCTTTCCCATGTTTTCCAGAAGAAAAAAAAGAATGTGTGATATCACATCTGACTTAAGTGACTGCTGGAAGTGTTTTGTTAACAGTCTATGAATAACATCTCTTGTTTCTTTAAGTGCAATTTCTGGAGATGAGTTTATGTTGTAGTGCTTCTAACACCTGTACACTTCTGCCTCTTCCATGATAACGCTGCCTAATATATTAAAAACCTTTGCCTTTAGGTCTTTATTATATTAGGCAGTGTTATCATTGTCATCAGTATTAGTGCAGCCTGTTCTCAGTTTATGCCTTAATAAAAACTTGTGCAAAAAACTTGTTTATATTATATAAGCCGTTTAACTCAAAAAGTTTTTATTTATTATCTCTGGGACACTTTTCTTCATCCTCTACTGTTTCATTGTAATTTTAAAAAGGGCATTTATTATTCAGCCTAGATTGCAATAATCTTTTCTATTTGTGTTTTTTCTTATACATTCTATAAAGCACTGCCTTACTCCTTTAATCTGATAGAAATTCCACCAGATTATGCTTCTGCATTAAAAGAAGTACACTGGGTCCTAACTGGTATGTTGTTTAAGATTAAGATGTTTAAGAATAGATTTACCTGGCTTAGCAGTGTGCTGTAGTACTATTTATAAGGAGTTATAGAAGCTTCAATAAACCACAGAAATGCACACTTAGTGGCTCATCATAGTATGAGATAGGGATCAAATCTTGGTCCTTTGGGGTTGCAGGCAGTGTGACATTTACATATTGACATATTTAAAGGAATTTGCTGGGCACATATAGCACTCCATGCCTCATAAATGACAAATAAAGCTCCCAGGCAAAGAACTTTCACATTCATCCTTAACTAATGGATCTTGACAACTTCAAATCCAGATACAAAAAAGTAATTGTGAGCCAGGTACGAGATTCTGAAACTTCTACGAAATACAAAACAAAACTTGCGATGTGTACACACAGTAAGCTGTCAATGTGCTTCCACTTGGCCACAAAACTTTGAGATCTTATAATAGTTAGAAGCATTTCAATTAATTATAAAGAATTTGACAGCCTGGAACAAAAAGAAAATCCATATTTAAAATCTGGTGCTAGAAACTGCAATATTTTTCACTATAAAAACAATATCATATGTATACTGTGTTATCATGGGTACTGTATTTCAATACCGCTTCAGCACATCAGTCATTACAGTTTTTTTAAAACTTCAGTGACTTTAACAATATATCTGTTTCCTCCGCCCACTTCCCCCCCTTCCTGGCTGGATCAATGGTTCAACCTGAGTTAATTTACACTGATGTATCAGTGTAATGGAGGCAGTAATAGCTCAGTGTCGTCTCAGTTTGGCGGACACCTGTCAGGGTGTGAAAGATCTTTACTTTAACACTCACTGTCTCATCGATTTCCTCCAAGAGGAAAAAGCACAGAGGGCAATATACAAGGAGTAACTGCTCGGACTGCACCCACAGAGCCATTTATTCATTGTCCCGTCTGCCAGGGAAATTATGGCTGTTTAGTTTACCAATCCTTAAACAGCCACTGTCTTCATCAAACCCATTTGAGCTTGATCTTGAGTGAACTCAGTGTAATAAAACACAGCCACTGTTTCACAAACCTTGAGGCATGCTGGAAAATCGTGCTTTAGCCAGAATGAAAGGAACCCCTGAACAGGTGAGGAACAAGATGATAATAATAATAGTAATAAAAATAATAATTACGCCACCACCAATGTGCAGCCCCACCTGGATGATGTGACGGCAGCCATAGTGCGCCAGAACACTCACCACACACCAGCTCTCATGTGAGGAGGAGAGCAGAGTAATGAAGCCAATTCATAGAGGGGGATTATTAGGAGGCCATGATTGTTAAAGGGCCATTGGGAAGCAATTCAACACATGTATAACACTTATTTTCCTTTACCAGTAGGGATAGGTATAAACTGAAACTTCAATTTCTATTTCACACTGTATGTTAGTCATGTTGTAATTTTGAGCAAAAACAAACTTTGTAAAGAATACAAATAAATTACAGTCAGAGTAATATTACAGAACTGATTGCATTGCTTCTCTTCTCTTCCACTATGTTTCAGCTCCTTATCACCTAGGAAAGAAGAATACTACGAATTGTTACTTCTCAAAATATTTAGAGAAACTAACCGGGTAAATCTGCGAAACGATGTGAAAACATACAGTACATAAAAGCATAGCTGCACTTCCTCCAGGTATTTCACTTTGTACTTTCACTTAACAAATCTTGGCAGCTTAAAGCAAATATGAATAGAATGATGTTTCCATGGAAACTGGCACACTGTGTTGATACTGGCATTTACTGAACTGTGATTTGCTGCTCACAAATAGAACATGGAGGCCCTACTGCTGCCTTTCTAAAGCTAAGGAGCAAAATGTGTTTCTCAGCATGGCTATACTAAGCTTACAAATCTAAAACACAGAATGAGTCTCCCGTTTTGTAATCTGCCCAAATCCTGCTTAGCAGGGGAAAAAAGCCAGACAGAGTAGATTTAATGTATCTTGAGGCTGGTACAATTTGTACACTTTCATCTCTTCCATCCTTTGTTTGTGCTTGGTAGCCTTCAACAGAGATACCCTCCTCGCCAAACACTAATTCTAATGCCAATAATTAAGCCATATCTGGGGATAACGTGCTGAGCAAAAGACAGACTAGAACAACTCAGAGCTGTAAAGAAACTGAACATTGTTTGCTGTCCTCCCTTCTATGTTAGATACCTCCACTTATTTGCTTTAATTTTGTATAATGTATCTAATTATGTCAATTTTACTTCTATATTGTTCTGCTACTCCATGTATCCTTTGCACTAAGGATGATGTCATGTAATGTACAGGTCAGTGAGGGTTTTTAATGCAGGTATACCTGAATGAAGGGCTGAGCAAAGCCAATCTTCCAAACAGCTAAGAGTGACACCACCTCACAGCTGACATCTGTCTCGTTTCAAGCTGCGTTTCACAAGCACTCTTTTGTAAAGAAATTACCTAAAATACTTTGTACAAAAACTGTTTTCAAACTGCCTTTCACTGGAGGAAGATGGGCGTAGAGACTCTATGCATCCCGATGAAAGAAAGTGACATGATTCAATTTCATATGAATTTGGCAGACATTAATATTTTGGATTTTTAAAATGTTCTAAATAGGAGGAAGCATGAGCCTCCCTCTTAGGTGAGGTAAGTACAAAGGTATTTCATGCGGTGATGTTTAATTAGCAGTCTCTTATTAAATCAATAAGAGGTGGCTTGTGAACATGACACTCTTTTAGGTTGGTGCACTGCTGCTGTCTTTCCCATGTGCATTAGATTATATTCTTGTGCTCTCTCTCATGGGAGGTGCAGTGACTCAGCAGCACCTCAGAAACAACCCAGTGAGACCTGGCATTGTGACACAGCAACACTGCGACCATGAACCTGGAGACACAAACATTAATATAGACATTTCCTATGAATAAAAAAATATTTTGTTCACAATACTGATAATTTTGGCGCTTATTCAGAGGGGGTTGGGATTGAAGGAAAAGCGGTCGAGCACACAGACTTGCCAGAAACAAACATGTAAACTGACCCACAAGAGGGTGATAGTGGAAGCCTTCACAGCAATCACAGCAATTTTGCAACCCAAGGAGTGATGTAACGTCAAAAAATGTCCAGAATTATTGGTTTTAATAAACTGTTCTTTTTTGTAGAAATATCTATTTGTGTTTGATTATATGGCCTTAGTAGCAGATTTACTTGAATACTCTCTCATTGGCCTTGTCAGCCAAAACCCACATGCATCTACATCGTTTATACAGCCCCATAATATATAGTTCAGGTGGGTAGCTGCGTCAGCATGCGTAGGCTGGAAAGGAACAAGTAATAGTTTAAACCTATTACTTGTTCCTATAATATATAGTATACATTATGTATATAAAATTTATATAGCCCTATAACAGATGGAAGAAATTTAGAAAGTTGCAGCACCTTTACAAACAGTGCAGTGTTTTAATTTTTTGCCACATTTATCCAGCTCTTCAGCACCGAGAACGTCCATGGTATCTTGCTAGCTAAGTAAAATTCAAGCAGGGCCAGGGCCTTGGATTAAACACATCTGGAGATATTTCGGGAATATCCCTAGGTGGATCTAGTTGACAGACCATTTTACAGTTAATGTATATCTATGTAGAATGATCATTGGACAGCAGAGTAATCACCTCGTAGCCTGTTCTGCTCAGGTCTCAGAAGCTAGGCAAGGCCGGGCCTCGTCCGTTCCGAGAGGAAAGGCCTTAAGAGTTTTTTTTGCTTCAAACGGTGCCGGTGCACGTGTAGGCGGGGCTCTTCTCCCTGGACTCTTATCTGCATGCCAGTGCCCCAGTACAGTGACCAGGGACATAGTGCTGGTCATTATGTTAACCCCTAACTAGGTTCCACATCTCTCCCTGCTTTGCCTGCCCTGCTATGCAGTGGGGCTGTCGACTCATAACTGCTGCCACCCATCTCCCAGGTGTGGGCTGCACCTCAGTAACTGGGCTTCTTCGTTTAAGCAACGTACTTCCACTTCAAGGTGCTTTGGGATGAATAAAGATATAAAGATGCCAGTAATTATAATCGTTATTTGAATTGTTGAATTTTGTCTGTGGTTTGTCTGTGGTTGTGGTTCCAAACATTCTTCTGGTTCATAGCAGGGAGGCATGCCTCTGGCTACCCAGCTGGATTACACTAAATCAGGCGTTTGAAGCATAAATATCAATAAATGCACCACACTGATGTCTATATCTTTAAATCCTTAAAGGAAAGATATCACACTGATTTTGTAATGCCTGAATGTGACAAATCTCTGGAGCTCCACTTTTCTACTGCCTTATTAATTCAGTTTTAGAAAGAGGCAGATCAATGAGGCCCGTTGAATTAGTCCCTTTGGGAGCAAGATCAATGCTATTAAAATGAATATTGCCCCACGCAGCTGAGAACAACGCCCTTTCAGATGCTCATGTTGGACAGGAGGATGAGGCACATTACTTTAGAATAGTAATCACGCCCTCCTTGGCTTTCAGCAGAAATTCCCACACCACCTCACAGTGTAGCGCAGTGGGCGGACTGGGGATAAGGAACTTTTTGTTTTTCCAGCCCGTCCATCTTATCTGCAGAATACAAAAATCCTTCTGGAACACGCCGGCTCACTGTGGGATGAAAAGGCAGAACACAGGCTCTTCTGTAGCTCTGTTTTGCCTCCTTATCTATTCCCTTTTTCTCAAAAGAACCGAGGGAAGGGAGTACAAACACGAGACAGGAGGCACAGGTTGATTTATATCAAAGTTGATGTTTCTTAACACTTAAGGTGGTCTCTGTAACTACTCTTTATTAATGTCAGAGCTTTGACAATTGCACAATTCCATACTGACATTCAAGCTCCAGAACATTTCAGTTATTTTAAGGGCTTTGATGACCCTGGTTACAAACAGGTAGCTCAGAAAAAAAACTCACCACAAAAGACTACAAGCTACCTTAGGGGCTGTGTGGTTTCAGATGTGGTAATTTACAGTGAGTCATTACACTTAACATGGACTGTTATTTGACTCTATACCTGATGGAAGAACACAAAGAGAAAAGAAAAAGAATTAGGTGCATCATCCTATGTCGACTACTTTGATTCTTGTCAGAGGAGTAAAATATTTGGTTTATGCAAACATTGCATAAACCAAATATGCAATATGTCTACAGGACAGGACTGCTCAATGGGAATCAGAACCTGGTTCTGAGTTGCGACTTGGCTGTCAGAACCACAGAGTCCCCTGCCTCTTGCAGCCAGTCCTGTAAATCAGTCAATTTCCACTAAGAAGAAACAGCAGTCACACTGACTGCTAAATAAGCCCCTTTTAGCTTCCACTGTTATACGGCCACAGTTGTAATTACACAATGTTTTACCTTTCTTGAGGCATTAGCTAATGGACTGCTCACTTTTGAAAGCTTACTTTTTACATGCAATCAATTGAAAATGTTTTATTGTAAGAGGCCCTTTAACGAATCCATATTCACAAGTTGGGAATGACCTCACCACATTCGAGGGCAATTAAATGTAGTTTGAAGGGCAAAAGCACCCTGCCGAGAAAACAAATGAAAGATTTATAATGGAAATTTTCACATGCAAATGTACTTTGATCACACACATTAAGAACACTGAAATGTGCTGGTCATTCTGAAGATTTAAAGCTTTTTTTTTCAAGAAAGCAGTTAAAGAAAGCTTAACTATTTCAATAAAACATCCACCGTTTTGAAATATGTATTTACTTTGGTCTGACCTTCACATGTGGTTCTTGTGTCACAGCTAGACTTCTGAAACCAACATGATGGTGATAATAAACATTATTTTTATTTTTCATTGTGATGGCATTGCATCTATTTTAGAGTATGTACAGTAATCTAGCATTACATTAAACACTTACTTTAATACACAGTGAACCTTCTTCCTAATAGCAGTGTCACATAGTGCAATGAGTCAGAATACACTAAGTGGTTGTAGCACAGTAGATGAACTCATTAGAAATAACAATGTTGAAATGTTTACTACATAAGGAAGGTTTTTATACACCTTTTATAGAAACATTTATGCACTGTCGATCTCTGGACAAAAAAAGACCAAGGAAGTGAACAGATCAGATCAATTTCTATTGTTCAGGATGAATAAGCTATTTTATAGCTATGCTGATGTTGAGTATTTCTTTCTGCATATAGAAATATCCACAGAAACCCCATTACAAGATACAGAGAACTCTCTCAAGTTCACAGTTAAAATATAAAAAAGAACCTGCTGAGATTTAATTGTTAATTTTGTAAAATAAAAATGCTTCACCTGGACTGGTTTCCTACTGTATGTATGTAAGACTATTGTTTTGACTCATATGATACCACTAATTTCATGTGTAATCAAACATTTTACCACAAATGTGAATAACATATAATATTGGCTAGCATTGTTTTAAAGGTTTAATCCTTTATACTTACTCTCATCTGATCCTTGGTTTTCATCCCAGGTTCGGATATAATCATCCTACAGAGAAATAAAAATGTTTTTATTGTTCAAAAAGAGCTTATAAAATACTATATAAAATAAAACACACTCTGTTTCCTTAAAGCTATGAATTGAATTTCTACAATCTTCCCAAAAACCTGTTCTCTTACAGATGGTTATGAATTTGCTATATGTATTACTTTTAGATTATTTTGAAATACATATAATTAAAAATGTATGAAAAGCTGTTTACACACTATAGTATCCTTATAAATTGTATTAAAATATATGTATTTAATTTAAAAAATGTAAAATTATGGTGAAAAATAATTATCAACTTTGAGGAGAGTCACTGAATGATACAATTATTGCATCATTTCCTGTCAGGTACATTTCATTGAATTTGACCCCACAGAAATGAAAAGATGCAAAAATAAATGATTGTAAATGAAGCATAACTCACACAACAGATGAGAATTTGTGACAAAAACAAATGTTCTCATGAAAAAACATCTACTAATTAGATATTTATCTCTTTGAGAACCGCAGTTTAGTCAGCACTTTTAAAACGCTAAAAGCTTTCTAATTGTTTGAAAAAAAAAAAACAGGAAAAATACTTCATTGTACAACAGCAGCAAAACGACAAGGGGAGTTTACTGGTCATGTCAGAGAATTCCAGTCTGTTGCCAGGCCCGTGTGTCTCACAAGACAGTTTTAATTTTAATTGATCCAAGAAGCAGGCTTTATGCTACGATATACAAAACAACCCAGCTGAGGATTGAAGGTTCCCACAACGGGCAGGGAACATCACAGGTTTTGAGAGCAGTGGTCTTCCTTATCTATTTATCTTCCTGACTGGGAATATTTCCTAAGGACCACCGTCTTCAAAGTGTTCCTCCCATGTACGCGCCATTGAGACATCAGATGATTTATTAATCAGACACGCAGTACAAACAGGGTTTGATCCTGACAACATGGCACTTGTTTTGTCTTGAACTTTTTAAAAATATTCAAATGAGTATAGACATCGTTGTTAGTAAATCAATGCATAACTGGAAAGCCACGCATTCAGAGACAGAACTGGAAGGCTCATAAGGCAGAAATTCACCATGGATGGGATGTCAGTCCATTGCAAGGATTTCCTCTTTAAATAGAAATTCATTTCAAACTTTCTCCATGAGTAAATGAGGGACCATATGCCTCAGTGGTGTGAAATACTTATAATTAAAATCTTCAGTTTGCCCATTCCTTGGGCTGAGTAGCTATAATTAGACGAGGCACATCTAGACAAGTGCCGATACTCCTTGTATTGACTCCATCAAGACGGGAGCATTTATAAGCTTCCTCAGAAATTCAGCTTATGAACTGACAATATTTAACGGTTGGGATACTGTAACTCTTTCACATCGCAGGCAGTGATTAATGAAAGACAAGCCCATTGAGTGGTTGCAGTTCAGTCCACTTCAGTGTTTTCACACCTTAAAATCTGATGAAATATAAGCTCCAATAAAAATGAGGAAGACCGTCAGCATTGTTATCCCAAAGTTGACTTGCCCTTTTGGTATCTTTCACAAATTGAATGCGTACAGATTCAGGACTGGTTGCATTCTCATCATCGAAGAGGAATTTCACAAGTGACATTCTGTGCAGGTTAAAAAGCAGCCAGGCCTCTGGCACTACAGCTGTCATCTTCTTTCAGCGGGGAATACAGTTGAAATGGATAGGCCCATTTTTCATTGTGAAAATACTACTATTTTTTTTTGTGTCCATAGAGAAGAAGGTCAAGGTTTAGGCAACCATGCCTCAGTTCAGAAGAAGAGTGCTCTCCTTCCCTCCAGTGCTGTCATCTGTCATTTCACAAACGCTTCTGAAGAAGGTATAATTACTGTTATGGTATGATTTTTTTCATGTCATCTGGGATGTTTTCTAAATAACCTATAAAGTCTGGATGAAAAGATTTTGTTTTACATTTGCTACAGTATTTTGTTTTGACTTTGAGCCTGATTTATTTCTTGAAATCTGATTTATAACTTGCAAGAATACAATATCATTAAAAATCATTAGATACTTGGCAGGCATTCACAGTCTCCTTCTTTAAAAAAAAAAGATCATGACTGAAACTCTCTGCCCGATTTTCAATTAGATTGTAATACCGGTAACATTCGTTTTCTCACCGTTTGAAGCACAGGTGAAAGAACATAATGCATACTGAGCAATGGGCATTTTGAGAAAAACATGTACATTTGAGTAAGCTTGTCTGACAAAAGCAGAGTGCTTGTACAGATCCAAGAGATGTTCAGAGCCCAGTCCAGACGCTGCATTCTTGGCAAATCAGATAAAGGTAGCTCAGAACTTAGTTCTTCAAGAGGATGGTCCTGTGCCTTAATAATTCTTATTCAGCGTGATTCTCCAAAGTCTCCATGGGGAATGTCATGACTTTTTTATTTCATGGTTATAGCTACACTTACCCTACTCTTATCAAGCTCTGTTTAGCTCTGTTCCAAAAAGTTAGGGCTCTCATGTCCATCTTCCCTTACAATTGTGACACTAACTGCATATAAAAAGCTTTTTCCTTCAATGTCACCCCTTGCCTCCCTTCGAGTATTTTACCCAATGGAGATATTAATGGGCCTAATTAATGCAGGCAGGTAACACCTGTAAGTTCAGGAAACATTCTCTGGGGTTAAAAAAAGACGTCAGACAAAAGTGGCACGAGCAATGTACAGACTTAGAAACAGCTACTAACCTCCACTTCCTGGGGTAAAGAAGGCAGGGCAAGCAGAAGGGACAGAAAAAGAGAGAAAAGTCATTAGAAACAAATGATCATCTACCACTCTTTCAGTCAACAGCACAGACAGGTCTTTTAGAACAGTTTTAGAAATGGCCATCCCATAGTTAAACCTGCCATCAGTTTTATCGTGTCTCTTTACAAATACCAGTCTAATATTTTTAAGTCAAATCAAATTTCATTAAAAATGTAAAGTGCACTGTGCTTTAAGCCAAGGACCATCAGTAAGGACTCCTCTGAGATGGAGAAGTGGTGGACTTGAATGCGGTGGACTGTATTAGGATTGCCTCAAAACAACGTCATCAAGTGATTCACAGAGCTGAGAAACTGGGATGTGCCTTAACAAACAGAACTAGAAAAGGCCTTTTAAAGCTTTTTGGAATCATGAACACAATAGTGAATATTAAAAATGCTTGTTATTCACCATTGTTATTGCATACAAAACAGACTGACACACAGTAACTTCAATCAATCCTTTAATGTGTATACAGCTGACACATCTAATTAAAAAATTTCTGGATTCCAGACTTCTGGTTTCATTACTGCACCACTAACTGAAACCTAAAACAAAGGCAATGTCAAGATATACAGCGCTTACTGAAAGTCTACACATCCTATCCAAGGTTAACTCAGAAGAAATTTGTAGCTCAAGCAAAAGGTTCTTGCACCAAGGACAAACTCAGGGGTGTGTAAACTTAACTAAAAAAATGTTCTAGTTTTTAAGTACTGTAGCTTCACCATGGACAGGACACCAGTCTCCTGCAGGGCACACAAACACCCTGGACAGGACACCAGTCCACTGCATTTAGGACATAGACCTAGGAGAAAACTCATGCAAATACAGGTGGACATGCAGAAACAGAAGAAACTACAGTCCAAGAGTTGCACTACAAACCCTGCCCACTTCCAGTAATATATATTGAAACTGTACATATTCATTTTGGAACTCTGAACTGATGCTTTTTACAGAACATTTAAAGAAAAATGCACCTTTTTAAATGTGCTCTGGAATGATTCTTTGTGCATTTAATGCTATAGAATGCTTTTAAAAGCTTTTTCACATTTGTTTTCCCTTTTTAAGTCTCAATAAATTTGGAGGAGTTATGAGTGCAATAGGCTCCTTTCTGCAACTCATACATTAAATACAGACCCATTTGAGAAATTTATACCTGTCTCTTTAGCATGGCTCTAGCCTCACGTAAAATATATCACTATAAAAATTTACGGCACATACTCTGGGTGCCAAAAAGGCCTTCGAAAGCTATAAACCGTGACACCTAAAATAAGTGCTTCTTCATGGAGAAAAACTGGGCCAAGCATTTACATATTGGCACCATAGTCACAGCAGTATATGTTATCTTAATTGAATAGAATTAAAGTGAAATTATATCTCAGACACTGGTGCTATAGTGCCTGCTACACTGCAAATGGATGCCTGCTGTGTCCTAATTCTTCTGGTGAGTCTGTTGACTGTTGAAGGGGAATTTGCTGATGCCATATAGAATATTTATCAGTGGTAAAACTCTGTGCTGCTTTGCAGAGTGAATTATAGTTCCTAATGTAGAATAACCTTGTCCGACCTACTGAAGTTCCACATTAGTGGGACTTGATCACTAAACTTTATATCCCCTGCATTAATCTGCTGCCTTTGATGTGCACGTTCCTGATGCTGCCACTTCTGCATTATTTAACATGCTATTTATATTAATGCCAAACAGTACTGGAAAATATCTTGTCAGGGACCCACATTTCAAATCGATCATTATACAGGGAATGATAAAAAAACTCTGTGTTGAAGGTATATAATGCCAGCTGGAAAATAAATCCTAAATATCTACTGTAAATAGTGGTCTCAAATCTTCAAACTATGCCAAACCGAAGGGTTGTCCTTGATTTAACATATAGGCCTCTTTCAGGTCAGCACAAGGCATTTTATCATAAGTTGGGTGCTAGCAAAAAAAGGTCTAAGGAAAGAAATCCCCCTCTTTCTAACTGCTTTCCAGTATCGAATGAAACTTTACTTGTTCCTTTGGAGCAAAGGCACGCTGACACAGCCTGCAACTCATGACTTTACTATGCTGCCTCTGAAGGAGACTGGCCATCCACACAGCTCAACTGCAGCAGATTCCATCAGGACTGTAGTGCTGAAGTTGCTGAAAGTAGTGCCGAAGCAGACAGTGTGCTCTCAGTAGTGTGCCTTCTACGTGCTCTTCAAGTTGCGCTTCAAGCTTTTCAAAACAAAATATCATAAGATTCCCAAACGTCTTACACATTTTCTAATGCACTTATTTCAGTGGTCATCACTATTTACTAAAATTTATTTCCCGGAAAATGCAGACACAAACCCCACACAGACACATCTTTTGGTATTGGTCATGTTCTGAGGAGTCGTCTGTGATACACACAAGGTTCAATACACCAAACATATCTGGCTATGAAGAAAATCACCTACTACTGTCATCAGCGCTATAGCAGACATCCTACATAAATTAGTCATTGGTATGGATTATTCTTATCCTTATTTTCCTTCTAAGAACTATGCTATTCCATCCATCCACTTCCACCCTGGACAGGATGGCAGTCCATCGTAGGGTTGCTATGCTATTCCCTAAATTAGAAATTTCATTTTAATGTATATTGCTGCACATGCACATTATGTTAAGGCACATTAAATGTATAATGGGATCGTGAAAGCTTTCACTCCTAATTTTCTAATCATGCCGCTTAGTATATTTCAGGTAAGTCGCCAGACAGTGCTTTTTCAACACAGCAGTGAATTCATTGAACCAGTGGTGGTAGTTTATTTCATTCTGCAGATACACAGCTTTCATTTTTGTTCCCATCAGCTGTGTTTCCTTGTATCTCTTTATCTCATTTCCCTCCAACGCCTTCATTAACTTCATAGTTCAGCACAGGATTTCTTACCAAGTTTGACATTCAAGAGCAGTAACAGATCTCGGGCTATAAAAGGCCTGTTGTCACTCTTCCAGGAATGGTTACCTTTCTGTCATTTTGTGAGGCCGGGGGAACAGGATGCCACCTCATCAGCTGCAGAGGCTGGTCTTGGGAGGGAGACCTTTTCTAGAGCCACTTTCTAGCATCAAGACCAGCTTGATCTTCCATGATGTCAACCAAAGACTCGACCAAAAAAAGCAGCCAATAGAACTCCAGAAAAAAAAAATCATATGACTCTGGAAAACCTGTGCTGTGGGGAAAAAAAACCCAATACTGAACTGTATCCATTGATTTCTGAGTCATTTTCCATGTTGATATTGCACAGTGTTCACTTATGTGCGTTAACGCAGGGTCGATCTGCAATTTATTCAGCATTCAAGAAAAGAAACGGCTCGGATTTCTTTGCTAAACTTACATGTGCTTACTTACTGCTGTAAACTTGTGTGCCTTCAAATATAAAATACAGCAGGAATGATTTTAAAACAAAAGAATTTGGACATTCAATTTAAAACATATTTCACATATGCAAAAAGTATTCCCCAGTCGTCCCTAGTGTGCTGTGCAGGGGCTTAAAACCCAGTTTCCTGAAATGTTTCCTTTCCAAATCCAAAAAAGTGGCATCACTCATCCTCAGGCTCTAGCAATCAGCAATTTGCAGCAATTAGTCCCTAAGGTCTGTGTGTTTCTTTAAGTGGTGTTGAAGCATCACTTACACTGTGTACATGGACCTAGATATTGAAGAGCTCCAGCTGAGAAATCTGTGCCTCCTAGCTGCCCTCAATCCATCATGTGCAGTGCAGTATTATACTAAGAGGGCTGCAGTTGAATTGTCGTTCTGACTGACTTGCTGCCGAGATCAAACAGAAACAGAATGTCTGGATTAGAAGAGAGACGTGTAAAGACAACAATTTAAATGTTTGTTTCAGTTTTGTGACTGGAATAACCTAGAGAAGCCAAACACTGTAGCAGAAACTCAGGAGAGAAAATCCTGCAGTGTCAAAGCTTAGAGAAATGCAGGTGCTGGGCAGAAAAGAGCAGCAATCCTTCATTTTTCATAAGAATATTCTTCCTTAATCTTTATTCTCACAGTATAAATACATCTGACCACAGCCTGAGGATGGATAATCTGCTTGCTCTATTTGTTCACTCTTTCCTTTAAATGCTTACATATCAGCCATTCTCTGAAATGTGTGGTGAGTTCAATGTCTGTTTTTGACAGGCCTTATCGGTGCTGAAATGCATATTGATCATATTTACATTCTTGTTATTAACAAGATTCTGGGAGACAACACGGGAACTTTTAAAAGGAACTATAGGGTGTTTTACTTTTTTTTTTTACTTTCAAAGACCCTTTAAAGAATAATGGGAGGTTCAAAACATCTTGTCGCAATCGAATTCAGAGAAAATATGTACAGATGCACAAAAAACAGGTCTAATTTTTACATTAACTTCATATATCGATTTATTGAGGTAGAAGATCTCATTATTTTTTGCTATATTCACCATCAAACAGAAAAGACTTCTCCATAGGTAACAGGTAATTGGTAATTAGACCACAATGTTGTTTCTTTTGTACATCAATATAAGTATCTTACAGACAAAAAGTCATAATAATTGACCCAATTAAACCTGCACTTCATGCTGAATTATGACTGCCTGATTCTTCATCTGTTTTGAAACTCTTAGTTTGTCAGCAATTTGTTACAATTTGCCTTTTGCAAAAATTACGACACTTAAGTACATTACAGTAATTACTCTACCAGGGTGACTAGAATAAGGCTGATTGATCTATTGATGGTACACGTCCTTAATCTTAATAAAGGTCGTAAAAAAAACAAGAAAAACAACTACTGTACCGTAAATAGCACAATGTGGGGGGCTTTAACTGAAAGTTAATTTTCTAAAGCAACAAAACGTTCTCTTCTGAGAAGAAGCTGAATCGCCCCAATTTATCTAGATTTTTTTTAACGTTTGTCTTCAGCAGCATAAAGACGGTTAAGTGTTCACAGGAC